CAGTGCATCCATGCACCCCTGCAGTGCATCCATGCACATGCACTAGTGCATCTATGCACCATGCAGTGCATCCATGCACTCAAACACCGAATGCAATTAGTGCATCGATACATCCTTCTGTGCATCGATGCATCAAGGCTGTGCATCGATGCATCCATACACGAAGGCTGCAACGGCTAGTTTATTTGAATTTAATGAAGGGGTATCGATGCACCATGATAGTGCACCGATGCACCATGTTCTGGGCATCCTTTTTGAGTAGAAAAATCATCCCCAAACGGCTCCAAAACATCCCCAACGACTATATACAACATCAAACACATTCCAAGCTATAAATACAAGCTAAGGACACTTGAAGAAGAGAGAGAACAACCATCCAAACAATCAAACACAAGAGAAGAGTTTTTTCATTCTTATTTCATCTTTCTCTTGTAAATATTTTGTTCTTGTGAGCTTAATTCTTGTAAACACTTACCTTAGAGAGGTTTTCTTGTTTACATTTCTTATCCTTTTGTAAAGGGAAAGGTTCTAGCTAATCCCGTGTAAAAACTAGGGAAAGGTTCTAGTTTAGCCCGGAAAACTAGGGGGTTTGTAAGGTTACTCTTTATCCTCAAAAGAAAGAACAAATTAGTGAATTTGTTGGAAAATCCGTGGTGAGGAGCTAAGGTAGTGGACGTAGACTTTGGTTGAGAAAGTCGAACCACTATAAATTGCTGTGCAATTCTCTATCTTTCATTCTCCTTACTCCCTAAACATAAAAACCGTTTCGACCCCTCTTTGCAAATCGTTCCAGTTGTCGATTTGAGCTTCCGAAAATCCCAACACAAACCGAACACCCTTCCACGACGTCCGCCTCTGCCTGATGAGGGCTCTAAATCGAGGCACAGAAGCTTAACCCTTCTCATTTCTCTTTAACTCTCTTCTCTCTCGACCGGAGCTTAACTAAGCTCCATAACCGGCGTCGACGACCCCCCTCGACGAGAACCCCAGAAAATAGGGATGACAAACGGGCGGGTCGGGTACGGATACCCCCTCCCCCATCCCATACCCACCTAATATTTTTCAATCCACCACCCGCCCACCACCCATGATGGGTACAAATTTTCAAATCCACACCCGCCCACGCGGGTACATTCTCAAATCCATCCCCACACCCATTACCCACTAGTGACGTACCCGTCTAGACCCGCCTGACAGCAAACTTAAGTTATACATAAGCAACAAACATAAAAAAAAGCATGTCCATTAAGAAACATAATAAAATAATCCAAGGATTATCTAAGTTAAGTGTTAATATAGATCTTAAAATACATAAAACACCATAATAAATGACATAATTAAAGTCTAGAAACATAAATGACAAACACATAATGTTTTTGTTCTTTGGCACAACATTCTAAAATTTCAGACAATATTTGTGACATATAATACTCCAGTATTACAATCATCATTCTCTATTTCCTCCAACTTAGAGCGCTCCAATTTAAATTCACTACTACCTACATATATATAATAGAAAGTAAAACTAATATAAGTTAGTAACTAAACTTTAATAAGATAATTAAGCATAATTTGACAACTTATATAAACTAAATAATAATATTACCTTTAATATCGGCCCAAAGCCAATTTTGAGCATACATTAATGCTTCAATCGTCTCCGGAAGTAGTCGACTACGATAAGGACCAATTACTCTTCCACCTATACTGAATGCAGATTTTGATGGGACAGTGGAGACAGAAATGCCCAAAATATCCTTTGCTATTTGTTGGAGAGTTGGATAAATTACATGTTATATCTTATACAATATTAGAATTTATAAATTAGTCTCTAAAATTACACCTAAATTCATAATGGTCCAAAATTTAATGTATATTTAGCTGGGCGGGCGGATGTGGGGCGGATGTGGGGCGGGTAATGTCTCAAACCCATTACCCGCCTATCACCCGCGACGTGTACCACTTTCTAAATCCACACCCGCCCACTACCCACTAAAATTAGGGTATTACACCATCCACTCGGAGGAGGAACCCAAAACATGACATGATCAAGCTCCTTCCCCGTAAACAAAAAGTCTACACCAATCAAAAGATCACCTGCAAATAACTCCACATCTAACACGGAAGCAAGATACTTAGCCTTCAACCAAACCGCGACTCGAAATTTGATAAGAGATACTAAATTTCGAAAATCTGCCTTCTTCTGATTAAATACCACATCATTCCGTGGAGCTAGATCGACTGGAGGACTGCAAATGGTATTGTCCTCCAAACAAGACTACAACGCACATTATAAGGTAAGGAAACATACCAACAACAACAAAAGAGATAGGATCGGAAGGAAAGACTAGAGAGACATCCCAAATGGCAGCAAACACTCCCCAAACCCTCCATGAGAAGTCACATGAGAAGAAAAGGTGATCAGAGGACTTAGGGACTTTCAAACACAAAAGGCGACTAACATCAGAAATACAAATTCCTCTATGGACAAGTTTGACCCTTATCGGAACCCTCCGCTTCAACACCTTCTAGACAAATGCTTCCACCTTGAAAGGAGCAACGCCTACCCAGATACACTTATTCCAATTGAACACAAAGGGATGAGATGGGGCACCGAGCTACGAAACAAATTTTATAGAGTAGCGTCCATCGCTTGCCCCAAGTCATTTTACCCAGTCCAAAGAAACCAGAAAACTCTCAAAACTATCGAGGGCATGCATCAACGCTTCCCACTGCTGGACCTCCCAATCAAACACCTCCCATCGAATAACAATATTCCAGAACCACCCTTGCTCCGTCTTTCTTCCGAAGTTAGCTATAAAACCACATTTATCTCTGGCTAGCGCGAATATCCTAGGAAATATTTCCTTTAACGGACTAGCTCCCAACCAGGAATCATGCCAAAAATTAATTCTTTCTCCATTGCCCACTTGTAATTGAAGCAAATTCTTTATGGAGTGCTCATACGTTACACCTAAATAAGTGGCGTGGAAACCAATCCAAATCCAAGAAGATCCACGTGGCACTCTGTCAGGAGGAAGAATAACAGCAGGATCGAAATTATACTTGGCAGTAATTGCCTTTTTCCATAGGCTTTTTGTCTCAGAGCAGTAGCGCCAAACCCATTTGTCAAGAAGACCAAAATTTTTCAATTTAAGATCAGCGATACCCAATCCTCCGTAATTCAAAGGTTTACACACATCAGACCAATTAACCCAATGGATTCCTTTATAATCCGATGACTCGCACCAAAGGAACCTAGAGAAAAGGCTATTAAGCTTATTGTAAACCAATTTAGGATTTGTGTTTCCAAGGCCCCGTATATATCTTTAGATCGATCATTGGTCCATTACATTGTATCAAATGTAGTAGTTGATAACTCGATTCATTACTTTTAATGTATTCAACCAAGATATTACTACACATTAACCTTAGTAAAATCTCAAAATCAAGAGATGATTTTCCATTACACTTGAACAAGTTCATATACCTCGTTCTTCTAGAGTTTATAAATTCTAAAGTTTTGATTCTTAAATATACAGATTGACCAGTTGAAATAAATACAAAAAGAATGATTGTTCATAAATAAAAGATGAAGAATTAAGTTTCATTTCATGATACAAGCTATATGCAAAATTAATTAACATTACACATCATAAGCGATGCATATCAGTTAAAACTAAGCAAAAAAAGAAAAGAAAAGACTGAAATGTTATTGAAGGAGTAATATAACACAAACTTTTACTGGATACAATAAATAAAAGTATGTAATCCTAATGAACAAAGAAAGGTTTATCATGTCAACTTCAATTTCTAGTTCAAAGTAATTGAGCAAAAACACAAAATTACATCATCTTAAAGAGGTTAAATTTAAAGGATCTTTCAAGCATCTTATCAGTCTAAGGTGTTTCATTTACTGCTGTCACAAAAAAAAAATGCTACAAGTTTAATTAGTTCTACATATTTTAGAGAAAAAGAATGAAAATTAAAATATTTTCTACAAATCTAAAGAATAGCATAATACGACAATCTTTGAAGCACATAAAAATAACAGAGAGAGCTAAAGGATTGGGTGAATAGAAAAAATCAGTGAGAAGCTTTGGGTTGACGATGGGAACCGTGAGAATTCGATGAGAGGAAGAAAACTGGCGAGGGGAAGAGAGCCGATTGCCAATGAATGGTGATGACGGTGAACTGTGTAAATCTAGGTTGAAGGATTTGGGGAAATATAAAGAACCTGTGAGAAGCTTTAGGGTGACGATGGTGAACCCGTGAGAATCCGATGAGGGAAAGAACGCCGATGAGAAGAGCCGATTATCGATGAATGGGTGACCATGGTGAATTGTGTAAGTGTTGGGTGAAGCATTTGGAGAAATTGAAAGAAGCCGTGAGAGAGGAAAATGACTAACGCAAAATTTTTCGGTAAGTAGTTTTCCGGTGTTTCAAGCCCTTTGACCGTAGTTGATTTTCCTTTGACTGCAGTTCATTTTTCCAACTCAAACACCAGAAAAAGGGGAAAGTGCGTAAAACAAATGGAGCCTTATATTAACAAGTAAAAAATAAATGAACTCTTTCTCGTGGCTGTGGGATCATAGGGGGATTCTCCTAAACCGTTGGATAAGATTTTCTAATGCTATCAACGGTGGTTGTTATTACATTTGAAGATGGCATGTGCTGTGGATTTTTATTTTATGCAAATTTAAAGAAAAAGGTTAAAAAACTATTTCTAGTAATTTAAGGTAGAGAAATGTTGTAAAATTATTTTAGTCATGGGCCCGAGCAAAACAAGTAGAACAAGATCATTGTTGGTTTTCGTAGCATTTGCCTTCACACGCAAATGCTAATGCAACGAATGGATCTCCATCTGTTGCTGAGCTTACTGAAATTCATCCATGCGAATTATAGACATTGTCAATGTGTTTTTTGAGGTTATTATAAAGCTTCTTTTGTTCAAATTCAACGATGGAGAACTCTTTTTATGTATTCCAATATTTTCTATACACGTTGAAACAAATTGTTGGTCGCAAGCAAGCAAGATTAAACAAAAAACTCCAGATCAAAATTGGGGCCCAAAAGCCAAAATTCTACACATCTTACACGCCCAATTCGGGTTCAGCCTATTTGCACATCCTTCAAGGGCCATGGGATTCCAATCACTTTGAACGACCGACTATAACCATTTACAAAAGCTCCATTCTTGAAGAGGCGTCGCAACACGTCACAGTCTGGCAAAGGAGAGAGATTTATGCCGATTGCAGCTTGGCAATGGAGAACGGTTTGGAATAATTCACTATCAATCTCTTCACTCTTCAGTGTGACTCGGCGTACTCTACGAGCCTCTGCTTAAGGTTCTGGAATAAGGAAGAAACTCTCAAGTTACCACTCAAAAAGGAAAGAGAAGAAAGAAACTAAATTATAGTACTCGGAATAACCTTCAATTCTTGATGAAGAACAACAAATATTTTCTTCAGTCTTTTATGTCTCTGCCAACCAAAACAGCACATAAATCCTACAGATTCCTTTTTAAAAAATAAAACACGGACACTAGAAACACTTCAGAACAGATACATATCTTCAATATCCTTCTATTTTCAAAATAATAGAAAGCACTGGAATTTTCATACCAGACACAAAGCATCAGATACTTTTACGAGATCTTCCACAATAGTTTCTTATTACCCAATTATCATTATGTGCAAATTTCTTCTAGACAAGCACATAATGAAGTAATTTTGCAGATAGCAAATGATCTTATCCTTCAAATCTGTTCTGTTCAACTGTAAACACCTCCTTAAAATAAGAAAAAGACTGTCCCCTGCCATCTATCATCTTCCTACTAACTAAATGTTGACAAGGAGGCCAGAATCATATTACAGAACCCTAATTTTAAATCCGCATCAAACTTGATAATAATCTGAAGTTCAATAAATAAGGCAGGAGTAGTGAAACAAAATCTCTTAAGAGGATTTCGTTGCTTAAAACATTCCATCATCAATGATAAAAATCATATGCCAAAGAAAATAGAGAGAAATATTTACCGTTCCACATTGGTGATAAGACTCCATCAATTGGTCCAACGTCTTGTAATACTTTTCCTTGTCCCTACCTTTCGAATATTCAAGGTCCTTACCCAGTTTTTCAAATTCATTCCTATATCAGGAGGTTATTCCATCAAAAAAGTCAAACACAGTACAAAGTCCACCAAACCTCTTAAATGAGCGAAAGAATTTTGAAGTCTGAACAATACCTGTATGTCTGTAGGACCTTGTCCAAGTCCTTGTAAGATTGATATTTTTCACGAAATTCATTAACATACTCTTCATACCTAGCATAAAAATAAATAAAAATAGTTTCAATTAGATGGAACAGTCCTCTAACATTCAACACAGCCACTACATTCTCAATTTAACAGATGCATCTACACCATAACTACTTACTGAGATGAATCCTTAATGGGTCCTCTGCGCTCTGGTTCATCTTTTTCATACTTAAAATAAGGCAAATAGTGTTCATCTGAAGAAGATCCTCTTTTATTTTGACCATTTACATTGCCCTCTTTCTGAACCACATCCTTGCGCGTATCAGTCATATCCGCCAATTTATTTGATGTTGGTATTTTACTTCCCTTTATGAACTGGGACACTGAACCTCGCTTAGATTCCTTCTGTTGTGGGGCACAAGCTGGTGCTTTCTTTTGGCTTTCACTGTAATACTCCAGGCCAACTCCTATTTTTGCACCAGTATCTGTTTGCTTGGTTTTACTATTATCAGCCAATTTGTTCAACTGGGACACAACTTCTGGAAAGTCAAATCTTGTGAGCTGCTGCTGCTGAGACTGAACATCCCTATGATGCGATCTAGATAAATCATCAACAAGATGTTCTGGTGTTCTTTTAAGCCCACTTACATTAGGTGAAGACGTTTTTCCTGAATTCCAATTTGTCTTCTCAATAGGTTTTCCCCTACCTAGATCAGGATTAGAATTCTCTGATGCGCTTGGTCGACTACCTGACTGTTTAAAGGAACCTTTCCTCTCAAATTGCTTCTTTGTAGGAGTTTCCTCAATCACTGGCTCACGAATCTCACCTAACTCCAAGTTCGAAAGCTCTCGTTGGAGAATGTTGCTTTTACCATTAGCTGGATATCTATCTTCGCTAACCCTGCTATTATCCTTAGGGGAAGAATTAATATATGAGCCAGAAATTTGTCCAGCATCCTTGAACTTTACAACTGTTTCACCATGTTTCCTGTAGTGGAAATCAGAAGGCACAACATTTATACCTCCAGCGTCACCTTTAGGATTTGTCAGTGGATTTTTTTCCTTCATTAAACCATCCTCATTTTGGGTGTCCCTAGAAGGGTTATCATTTTGAGTCACATTTTTCTCGGTGAACTTGCTACCATGCTCTGATCTATCAGAATGTTTCAAATGCCTTTCAGCTGTATTAAAAGCTTTAGTCTGAGCACCTGGATCAGATGACTTACGACCTGATTGATGAAAATCTTTACTAGATTTCCTGGGAAACACCTGATTGTACCCCTTTTGGGAGTCGGCATGCTCCTTGTCACCTTTATTTGAGCTTTGGTAAGCATCTCCACTCCCAGAAACAGGTGGTTGAGACATGCTTTCAGACTTCAATCTTTTAGATCGCTCAGGTTTCCCATCAATGTGCTTCGAATCAGATCCCCTTTTAGATTTACCTTTGCTTTTCACAGGGTAATCGGATTTTTCATTCCTGGAGTAATTCTTAATGATGTTTTCTGTGTCATTAAACAAATTTCCTATGAAATTTTGGCGCTCCTGGAATTCATCATACTCAGATGAAGAAGGTTTTGTTCCTTCCTCGTGTTTCTCACATTCTTTGTTTGCATTTGCAGCCATTCCAGTTTCCTGGTCATCTTCAGGCAAGTCTTTTTCAATCTCAACAGCATCTAATCCATGACCCTCGGCATCACCAGTATCAGATACATTACCTTCAATATCGACTGCATCAGGTCGATCATCATCTTGATTCTCATCCATTCCGTTCTGCAGAGACGTGTTATGTTCTGCTTGCCATGGTACAGGTGAAGTAAAAAATCCTGGTTCAGATGGCATATCCCACTTTGTCTCTTTGTCATCGTCGCTTGTCATTATATCTACATCCTCATCAGACCCTTCCTTGCTGTTGGAAGAAGCATCACTTTCACTATCACTGCTACTACCACTACCACTTGCTGCCGGGCTTGCACTCCTGCTGTGGCTTCCACTGTCACTTCCACTATCACTGCTGTCACTGTCGCTATCACTATCACTGCCACTGTCACTAGCACTATTTACTGGCCCCTCGCTATTATCAGAAGCTTTTCTCTCGCCACCCAAATCAGGTGAATGCTGTTGGATGTCAATCTGTTCCAACGCTTTTGACTCTTCCATAAGTTTAGGGTCTAAATGAGTCTGTTCCTCCATCTCATTATGAGTAACATTCTCCATTGATAATGAAGCTGGAGCAGGTATCTGATCTTGGTTTTCTTCGGGAGCTGGAGCCTCATGTTGATTATCTTCAGATGAACTGCAGAAATATAGACAAAAAAGATGAAGGCTGTGTGCTTATATACAAGCAAGAAACTAAAAACCAAGAACGAGGCTCTCAGGGTTCCTGATAATTAGAAGAGGCACCATCCAATTTTTATTGTACCCATCTTTACTTTTTTTTTATAGGAATTGCAGGCCTCGTTAAAAACCTCCTTCATGATTAAAGGAGCTTATAGAGAAGCTCCTTAATCAGCGGAAGGAGGAAAAGAGTGCCTTAAGATTTTATTAACCATAGAAAGAACACGATACAACTAGGGAGCCACCCCCAATATGAACAGAACACCAAAAACAGCCACCAACAATCCTACCAGAACCAGCCTAATCCAACAAAGCAACAACAGCCTAAAAAAGACTGGCCAAACAAAAAACCTAAACGAGGCCCGATTGACAATCAAACAAAACAACCAGAAAAAAGCCAAGGGTGACAGCTGACTAAAACCATAAAAGCCAACTTCTAACTCAAAGGCCACGGAGCTTTCACATGATAAGAAAAAAAAAACACGCATATAGCCGCCTATCCACCACATCACCACGTCTTGTTGGTTAAAGACCATCCGAACTTCCAGCTCCAGACAAAAAGCATGGTGGAGATCACCTAAACCCATCTTTACTTACAACTGTGTAAAATGATTATTAAAAGGAAACTAACAAGAAGATTACCAATAACAAGAGCAACAGTTAGTTTCAGATAATCAAGCAAAAGATTTATGGCATGATATTCCAAAAATTGTTTATTGCATGAGATTCTCAAAAAAGAAAATAAATTGGTTAATCTTTGATATTATAAAAACATGAGATTCTCCAAGTCACCTAAATGATAATTTCTCAAAAAAGTCATAAAATTTCTGGCAGATCACTGATATAGGGAAAAGCTTATTTTGAGTGATGAGTGAGAAAGCTAGTGAGAGAGTGAACGTGGAGATTGGTTTTGGGTCTTCACGCAGAGGTAGAGCATTGCCTGGAGAAGGAGCATGGGTAGCTTTCATAGATAATCTTAGTAGGAGAGTGCATAGAAACGTTTTATGGGAGCGTTTTAGTTATTTCGGCAAGGTGATTAAGGTGTTCATTCCGTTCGTTAATAGGAGACCAAAGTACAAGGATTATACGTTCGCTTTGGTGCATTTTGCTAGTAAGGAGGATATGTTTAATGCGAAGGTTAGGATGAATAACGTTATGGTAGATGGGAGGAGAATATCGGTGTCGATTGCAAAATATCAGAAGAGAAGTTTTCCGCGGGGCAGAGAGCGTTTTACTGGAGCGGGGTCTGGAGTCGCTAGTGCAGTGGAGCCGAGTGGGAAGAGATCAATTGTCCAAGTTGACGCGAGGAGGAGGGAGTTGCTGAATAAGTTTCATGATGGAAGATCTTATAAGGATACGGTTGAGGGAAGAAATAATATTGAGGGCCAGCAATTGAGTAGCCGTGGAAATAAGGGGGTGGTTAAGAATCCTTTGGAAGTTCATATTCCAATGGAAGAAAGGTCTTGGTTAAGAGCATCCCTAACTGGTATATGCAAGCAGATTTTCGAAGTTGAGTTTGTGCAAAGAGCATTAAGGAATGAGGGTTTTAATGTCAAGGTGGTAAGGTGGGGCTTTGCGAAAAATGCATGTCTGATTGTATTTAAGTCTGTGGAGGAGAAAGTTGCAGCGGTGGAGGACAAGTGGGAGGCATTGTCTTTCTGGTTTGAAAGGCTGGAGCCTGTCATGGAGGAGAAGGGTGTTCCTTTACCTTACTGTGATGTATCAATGATGGGTGTTCCTTTAAATTGCTGGTCAGTTGCTTTCTTTTCTAGTCTGGCAGCGAGATGGGGCAAGTTAGTGAAGATTAAGGATCAAACAGCTCTTAGAGTGGATTGCAGGGTGGCTCATATGTTGTTAAGAGTGGAGAGCCCGTTCAATATTCCATCCCATGTCACAATCAATACATATGGAAGATCATTTGTTATTAAGATTAAGGTGGAAGGTTGTGAAGATTTTTTCCCTGAGCTTGAAGATGGGGCTGAAGAAGACGACACTGTGGAAGGGACAATTGATTATGTGAACGAGACTTCATCGAAGGGGAGCAAATGGGATTTTCAAGGAGGTATGAAAGGGCAGTTGAGTATGTAGATGTTGTCAGACTCTGTGAATGAAACAGAAGCATGGGGTCAGGGAGTTTCTCATGGGGTTGACACACTGATCGATGGAGATTTGAATATTAACGTGGAAAACAAAAAAAAATTAGGGGCAGATCCATGTGTTGAGGGGACAGTACTAGGTGAGGTTAAAAGTTAACAGAAAATGGCAGGAGGTTCTTTTGATATGAGAAAAAGGGTGTTCAGCTTGGAAGGGGTCACCTCGGGGCAAGATAAAGTTGTCAAAGATATTGGGCTGAATTTAAATTTGGGAATGGAGAAGACTTTTGGGCCTCAACAGGAAAATCCAAGATCAAATAGGATTGGTAATAAGTCTGCAGACAGGGTTAATGCTACACAAGCAGAATTTGATTGGCAATCTGGGTCTGTTTCATTGGCCCAGTGGTGTGAGGTGTCTGCTGAGCATGATGAGAATTTAAAAGGGGTTAGACTATAAGTCCTGACCAGGTAGAATTACCTTATGAAGCGGTCAAGGAAAATAGTAGTAACATGGTAGAGGAGGCAAAAAAAGGTATTCAGGATATTGAGGTTGCTGATATGGGTAAACAAGTAAATAGGTATAAGCAGAAAAACACCCAAATAAAAGAGAAGTGTTGTAGGAGGTGGAAATTGGGTTATCAGGTATCAAAAGGCTTGTCATTAAGAAGTTTATCCGAAGGATCGAGAGGTAGTGGACGTTTTATCAGAGTCTACAGAATGTCAAAAACAAGACGAGTATGGTTATGTTCAGAGAGGAGCCATAAGCACAATCAGAACAGGTTCGTTTTTCATAATTGTAAGCAATTTTCATCAAGTCAAGGGGAGAGAGGTCAGGATAAGGAAATCACAGGTTCTGAGCAGGATCAGAGTAATATTTTGGCTCCACTTATTAGCAGCAACCTCCCAGATAGAGTGGTGGTAGACCCTTCTACTGCTTCAGGGAAAAATAGAAAGTATAGATTGAAGAGAAGAGGTTTAATCACAGAAGCTTTGGAAAACGCAGAAGTTACAACTGTGTACTCCCACTCTTTCACTAAAGTACTAGAGGAAGCATTAGCTACATGGGAGGTATGTCAGAGTCTAGGCATTTCTTTCAAGGAGGGGAGGGAGGTTTTTATTGATAAGATTAAAAAGTTGGAGAATGGTTCAGGGGTGGTAAGTGAAGCCGGTTAGTCGACCAGCTTCTGTTTCTAGTAGGTTTTTGGTGTATAATGGATATGTCGGATTGCATTATTATTTCGTGGAATGTCAGGGGCCTAGGGAGGAAGGAAAAAATTAGAGCGGTGTCGAGACTAGTGAAGAAGAATAAACCGATTATTTTGCTTTTACAGGAGACAAAATTGAATAAACATCAGAAGGGGCTTAGAAGGAAATTAGGAGGATTCCAGCTTAAAGGAGAAAGTTTCCAACCAGCGGAGGGGACAGCTGGCGGTCTGCTATGTTTGTGGAATGAGAATGCATTCGAGGTTAGTGGGGTTTATAATCAGAGTAGATTTCAGGCGTTATCAGGGAAGTTCAAAGAATCTAAAGTGGAGTGTGTTATCATTAACGTGTATGGTCCTTCTGTAGAGGAAGAAAAGGAGTAGTTTTTTAGTCAGTTGCTGAGCTATGTTCATTCGGTTAATCTGCCAGTTTGCATTGGGGGCGATTTTAATGCTTATCTCGACCAAAAGGAGAAGATTGGAGCCTCACAAAATTGGCATTCAGTGGCCTTGCTAAGGAATTTTTTGCAACAATCTAATTTACTCCGACTTACACCCGTTGTCCGCCGCCATCATCAGCCACCCGCCGCCGCCGTCAGACGCCGCGCTGGCCGTCACTTCCGGTGGCCGTTGAACACCAAAACTTCCAGATTTTTTTGACTCGACGCCAGCATCAAGGATCTAGGCTTCATTTCACCAAGGAGAGCCTACAACTCAGTGGATCTTAAACGTGGCCCTTCGACTTTTTAGCTGTTGGCGACGCTTCTTCTTTCTTTTTCTCCAACGACGGCGCGATCTACAACAGCAGTATAGTCATTATTTTTACTTTCTCCATCTCCTTGCGTCTGTCGTCTCTCCACAAGCAATCAAGTCAGCCACGTTCGTCGCTGATCTTTAGCTGCAGTTTTGGTTCTGTTCATCACCCTTTCTTCCTTTGCTTTTCTTCAACGATAAAGCAACACAAAAGAAATGAGTTCCCGGAAACTTGAAGTGGGTCTTGCTACCCCTCTCCATTACAAGTCCTCTCGGCAAAAGCCAAGGCTAGTTGCAGAACATGCTTCGGCTTTGCAGTCTGTGGAGGCGGGGATTTCCAAGATACGAACTGCTATTGTGGCATTTGATCGCCTTGTTAATTCCCTCGGTTCACTTAAAGACACCGCTGAATTACGTGACAAATTGCATAAGACAAGGCTTGATATTGAGCAGCTCGTTAAAGAGTCTTCAGCTAAACTAAGGGAAGCAAGAGAAGTTGTGCAAGATGCAGAAACCTTAAAGAAATCTGTCGATGAGAAGCTTGCAGCTGGGAGGGAGACAACAAATTCATCTTTCGTTCCTAAAGAAGTTCGTCCATCAAGTTATGATGTCCATGTGCTGGAGGAAAAGGTGACCAAGAAACGCGTGGAAGGAGATGAGATGAGGGTTGAAGCCGCAGCTCTCGGGGCTAAGGCTGGCCGTCAGTCCAATAGTGGGGATAAAGAGGCTGGAAAAAGTTTGAAAATTCCGGATAAGAAGGCGAATCGAGTGGAGATTTTGGTGCCGAAGGTTACGGAATCGGAGCTTCATAAACAGAGAGTGGAGCAGCAGGCGCCGACTTTGAAGGTAGCGAAGAAGGCCAAAGAGAAGCAGTGTAGGACTGCGACGGGGGAGAAATATGAGAGGATGTT